TACGAATTTACATGAAGCCACATCTGCAAGGTTCGTCTAAAGCCTCAATCAGTCTTTTGTTGCTATATAGGGACTGCTACTGGCGTGTTATTTTTACCACTCATCTCTTGCTTTCCCTCGGCTCGAGAAAGCCCCTACATCTGCAGAGAAGTTCTCAAGCTACAGATCTCATCATGCGGGCGCGGGCGTTTTGGAAACCGTGATTTGGAAACCATGGCAGCGTATCGGAAACCATGGAAGCACGTTTCGTAAACCAGGGAAGCGCGTTTAGGAAACTGTGAAACGTTTCGGAAACTAGGGAAGCGGGTGTCGGAAACCATGCCAGCACGTTTCGGAAACCAGGGAAGCGCGTTTCGGAAACTATGGGCAAAGTTGCGGAAACCAGGGAAGCGCGGGTCGGGAACCAGGGAAGCACGCTTCGGAAACTACAGGCAGGGAAGGACGTGCCGGGAAGCAGGGAAGCTCGGGCCAGGTGAAGGGTTATCGCGGGATTGGGTTTAGGGTTTGGGTTTTGGGTCCCTCGGAGGTCAGGTCAGGTCAAGCAACCCAAGATTCAACCCTCTGACGACCCAACAAGGGCAGCCCTAAACCCGGGCCCCTCTGATCCCCATGCATCCTTTGATGGGGCCTCCAGCCCCCTAAAGAGGTCAGGTCGGGTCAGGTGAAAGGGTGTATTGTTTAGGGTTTAGGGTTTAGGGTCCATTCAGATCAGATGAGGCAAGAAGCAAAAAAAGGCGAGTGAAGCGGGGGTTTTGGTGAGCGAAGCAGGCGTTTACCGACCTGTTTGGAAAGGGAAAGGCTTTACTGGTGTCTAGAAACATAAGAACTGGCCTCAGCCGCGCTTGGCTCGTCCGCCATGTCCAAGAGGCCCACAGTAGACCCGATAAAGATTTGAGCAATTTGCCAAGGCAATGTTCAAGGTTGGAAACTGAACTGCTATACGAAAGCATGTCCAAGTTTCTAAAATGCACGCTGCAAGTTTCTGAAATGCGTTTTGCAAGTTTCTGACATGCACCTTGGTGGTTTCTGAATCATGGTTTCTGAAATTCTCGCATGCCGTGTCATTGAGGTTGACAACAACCCTACTGCTGAGATTCATCTCATGCCCAAGCCGTCCAAACAACTTCTAGTCTAGTCAGAGCACTGTGTGCTCTTGATTGCAGAGCATCCCCTTTACAAACCAAGCCGGATGATCGAAGTCTTTGACTTTTCGTCGCTGCAAAGCTCCATCGTTCAATTGCTCACCTTGTTCTCCACAAGTCTCAGTCGCCCTTGTGACTGTAGAGCCTGCGCAGACTCTCCAGTGACTACTTTAAGAGGAGGGTCCTTGACTCGGGGTCTGAGACCCGATTCGGCTTTTGTGAGAAGCTGAGCTTGGACATCAGGGCGTCAAAAATGGAGGGTTGGGAGTTTGGGGCGTCTCAAGTTGGAGTTTTGGGTTCAAGGTTGAGTTTAGGTTTTTGGGAGGTAGAGGGTAAGGGCTCAGAATTTTGGGGGTTAGGGTTTGGGGGGAGTGGAGGCTTGGGTCCCCTGATTCTTCAGGGTTGATTGTTGAAGTACTATATATATGTATATAATATACATATATATGCCAGGCTAGATGTTCACAGCGGGTCCATGGCGTGGGATGTCTTGCTTTTCAAGGTCAGCAGTAGCTCGCCCAGCGTATACTTCACCCTGATATACCCCACTGTGTTACAAACTAGGAACCCATTTTGGAGGTCTGGCTAACCCTCAGCCCTCAATCCTGAACTCGAAAACCTGATTCCTAAAAATCCGAAGCCCTAAAAAGTTTAGGGTTTAGGTTAAAACCAAACATAACCCCCCAAACCCCAGTAAACCCAAAGTCTTTGCACCGTGAAGCGAGCCTTCCGATTCTTTATGTCTCATCATTGTGAGCCTCACAGCGCAGCACACCAAGCGGCGTGCATGGGTTGTGACAAAATCCCTAAACTGGTGCTTGCGCTGAGGTGCAACTGGTTTTGGGGTTCGAGCTTATGGGATGTGATACCTACCTATGGAAGTAGCAATAGCAGCAGTCATTGTAAGAGACCCCAAAGTCACATTCCTAAATTCCGTGCCAACCCGCAAGAGCCCCAACCACAAGCCCCCAAACGTGGAACCCTTTTTCAATGCAAAACTCTGTCCTTGTGTGGAGAAACGTACTAAAGCGATCCCTGCAAGCCCATTAAAGCATCAGCTTTAAACAATCCCCAACCCTGAGCCGTAATCCCTGTACCCGAACCCCTGATCCCCAAATCCTAATACCCAAACCGAATTAAAGGACCGGAGAACCCCACATGTGTTGTTTCACCCTAATCTACGTGAGATAATGCTAGGATGCCGTCGCCCGCCGAAAAAAAAAAAGAATAACAACCAGCCGAGACGATAACTGGGGAGATGCTTCTTTGAAGAAAACAACTTAGGGGGGGTACCCTTGCCATTTGAGATTTGGGGACGTGATTCT